TCAATCCACTTTTAACATACTTAGTACCTCATTTTGTTTAAATCAACTTTCTTTTTTAAGAATATTAAAGTAATCATTCAATTAGTGTCTGCCAATCTTGATTGCCACTTTAATTTCAAAATATTAAATGACGAATCATTATCTTGTGAATTCAAACGGATCCTTCTTTCGCTTCCGTGTTAATTTGTTACACCGGGTTTTTTTTCGATTTCCGGAGGACTTTGTTCGCTTTCGACATTTTTTAGCAGTGCAGTAGGCGTCACCACCCATTTCGAATTTTGCGCTGACATTGATTGATTATAAATCGGCATACATTGCAAATCCAAAGAGAGGACAATAACTGCCTCGGCTGCTCCTGCTGCCAATGCTGTTGGCTGTCCTTTGTGTTGCTGCTGTTGTTGCTCCTTGTATTGCTGCTGCGGTTGCCTTTGTTTGGTCTGTGACAGCTTTTAATCTGGCACGAGGCACAGCGGCAACACCAACTGCTCGACAGCAACAATGGCCATTCCTAAAGTGCCTGCGACGACGACTACGACTGTGTGGCATATTTGAAAATCACTTTAGTTCATATTTCGGACGCACAGCAGCCTGAGACCTCAGCCAGTTGTCATTGCGTTCTCCTAATGCCTGTCCAAAGCGTTAATGATGCGGTTGCTGGTCAACCGCAGCAATAGCCGCAGCAGCAACTAGCAACACCCATCCGAAAAAGCCACCCAAAAAGCCACCCAACTCACTTTCCCGCCCCCTTGTGTCCTTCACGCAATTTACATAATGGTCGGCTCCTGATGCAGGAGCGATGCTTTCAACAACAATAACAACGACAGCAATAGCAATAGCAGCAGCAGCAACAACAGCAACAACAGCAATACCAACAAGCAACATCAACAACATCAACAGCAACAACAACAACCGTTGATGGCACGTTTTTGATTTCAATTGCTATTGCCAGTAGTTTCACTTGACTTTATGTGCTCCTGCGTCTCATCCCAAAAGCAATGCACTCAGAAAACTAAATCATAGATTTTTTACAACTTTAGTCCTTAGGGAAAACACAAGTATTTGTTGGGAATGTTATTAAGATAGATGGGCCGGTACTAATGTTTAAGGATATGTTATTTATTTATAAACGTATAAAAGTAGGAAATAAGAATAGCATTAAAAAACCTATATTTGCAATAAGTAAAAATAATTGAAATGAGTGTTTTAAGAATAAGTATTGTATATTACTTAGAAATTAATTACATATTTTCTTTAATTTAAGGCAGGATGCATATATTTTGTAATTAGAAAGTATTTATAGGAAATTTAAACATTACAAATGGCATATTAAGAAAATAAACTAACCAGTTAATCACATATTTGCTTTAATTTAAGAAAGGATTCGTATATTTTAAAGTTATAGATTTCTTGTTAAGAATTTTAACATTTTGTATTGAGAATTTGTAATCTTAGTACTCAACCCCTTTGCTAATTGATTTACCAAGAAGATAGTCAACTTTCCTCTCAGTGCAGCCATCTTTCTCGTTGGTTTCTCTTCGTTTCTGATGTCTGGCCTATATAGGTTGCTTGGCGCCATTTTATGTACGTAGCAAAACAAAAGTTATGGCCCGATTTTCCCTATCGCCTATGTCGCTCGGCCCCACCCACTTTCTTTTTTTTCATGTGTTTTCGTATTTTTATTTTGGGTTGGGGGCGTTCTCTGGTAACAAGTGGGACATTTGCCAGTTTGCCTGGCCGTTGTTATTGTCCTTGTTGTTGATGTTGCTGGAGCAGCAATAAAAACAAGCAAAAAATGTTGACGCCACCCTTTTTTTTCTTTTCTTGGTGGTCCAAAGTTACGCATCTAATAGGAAATCGGCATAAGTATATATGTGTACACAATGGAAATCCTAGTTTTTCCTATCCCAATCCCAAAAACCCAATGATAATTTTAAGCAAACGAGCTAAGGGCCATGGTGAAAGTCAAAGTCAATTACGTGGCGCTTTCACAAATCTTTCCAGCCAGGACAATCGTGTTAAGGAGGTTGGGTTTTGGGGATGCTATGGCAAATTAATAGAGAACACACACGTAGGCAGAAACTCACCCACAGCCACACCCATACACACACTCTCACACACACACGGTCTCGTAAAATGTAATGTCATAAGTGCTGCGCTGAACCTAAAACATTCCGCTTAACGCGACCTCCTTCCCTTGTAGCAACTCCATCTATTGCCCTCTTCCTTTCTTCATCCTGGTTGATGGCCAAGTGAGAATCCTTGGCTTCAATATTACGACTTTCATATGCCCAGTAACAGGTTTTTATAGTTTTCTGGGTATGTAACCTTAAAAAAAAAATAGGAAAAATAGCAAAAACTAGCAAAAAGATTGGCCAAAACACATAAACATCCATTTAACAAGAAAACTGAAAACTAAAAATGATAATTTATATAGATAGCTGAATAAAGCATCGGTTATTTTTAAAACATTTTAAAATATCAATAAAACTTCGAGAAAATTAAAAACACTTCTTTCCCCTCTAACTTCAAGTTATACACAATTATTTATTGACAATGCTTAAACAATTCTAAATCTTGAAAGAAGGTTTGACATACATAAAAACTAGTGAAGTAAAAAACAAAATATGTCCTAACTATGTTTTAAATGTTTTTGAATTTGACTTTTATTATGAAAATACTTTGATAACAGTTATTTTTTGTGATATAAGTAAAATTGGTAAAATAGGCATTCTAAAATTAAACAACACGTTCATTAGGAAGACTTTAATTAACAATGCTTTCACAACTCTATATCTTTTAAGAAGCTTTACTATACAAGTTAACTTGTAAATTTTACTATCAAAACATGTTAAGCTGATATAGGTTTATATATTAAAATGGGTTGAAAAAGGCATTTAAGATTATAACTAACAATACTTTAAAAATTATATGTCTTGTAAGAAGCTTTACTAAAGTTAAATAACAAAACAATTTCAATCAATAACATTTTTAATTTATAAATTTAAACAGGTTCAAATGGTATTTAATTAATATATTGGTGAGGAAGTATTCTGAGTGTTGGACCCTCTTCAGCAAATCCCATTTCCACTGGTCCTCGAATTCGACATACCTCTACCTCTGCGCCACCCAAAAACACCGGGTACATAAAGTGGTTTCGACTAGGGCATCGGCATCTATTTTTCGGAGGGGCGGAGTAAAATATTCGGATTAGTTATGCTGTTGGTCTGCCCCGGGCACTGTCTGCTCGACTTCCTCGTCCCTTTGGAGTAGAGTGGTGGGTTTTTTGTGTGCCCTTTGTGTCCTCGCACTCGCACTCTCCCTCGACCAGGACGAAGACGAAGTCCTGGAACCGGACTATAACTAATTCCATGGCTATGTATTGTAGTAGTTTCCTGCGCTGCCGTCGCTGCATTCATTGCTCACAAATTGGCAAGCAGCGCTTGAGGCTTGTGCACTTGTGACCAAAGAGTCACTGGACTAAGGGAACTCAGGCAACTCAGGGAGCTCAGGGAACTCAACGAACTGTTGCGTGGCCGAAGGGAATCCGGCTCTGTTGTTCAGTCAGTTAGTGGCTTATTTGTAGGCAAACATTCGAGGCGAAGCGAAGGCCCCGGGATCCATCTAGTTCATAGATTTATCTAAAATAAGTGAACCATCTAATTGTTCAATAAGTTCATCCTGGGCCCCGAGCAGCACAGCAGAAGCTCTTGTTGCTTGTTTAGAACATCCAGGGAATGAATAGCCAGCTTAGGCAAATGGAATCCCCACTCCACAATGCTGGCCCGCAGGCTCCGACCTCTAGACGTGCTTAAACCCAAAATTAGGGGTGGTTACACAGTGGGTGTGGGTGGGTGCTTTTGTGGGTGCTGGGTGGAGTATGGGGTGTCTTCTCTGGGCGGCCTTCTTACGGGCCATAAAATTTAAAAGCGAGCAAAGCATTTTAGCTCTGGTGCAATTTATTAGGCCGGCTCATCGCGCCGCATTTCGGGCCTTTGCGTAACAATTGCCTTCATCTGTTGATAAATCCCTGGTATGGCACCAAGTAAATTGAAAATATACCCCGCCGCCCACCGCACACACGAGTAGAAGGTGGCACAACGCTGCGACTTCGACTTCGACTTCTCCTCCGGTTCCGATGTGCAGCCAACTGTGTCGCAGTTCTAATTATCCACGCACATGTCTACTGGCATGAATTTTATAACAGGCCAACTTCTTTAACTTTAACTTAGAGTTAAAGGAGACAAATTTGTTAAGAATTTTTTTTTTTGATTCAGATGTCTAATTAATGTTAATTAATTCCTAATGTTGTTTAACTTTAACCTGAAAAATCTGTTTAAAAACGTTTTCTTTTGCCATCACTAATCATATACTTTAAGACCTTAAATTTGGCTGAACAAAAAATGATTATTTCTAAAAAGCAAAAATAAGACGTTAAAATAAAATAGAAAAATTCGTCTGGTTCGTCTGATATATGAAACGAAAATGAATTTTGTTTTGGAAACGTTGTACATTCATTGCTTTAAATGTTAAAGATTTGCTAAGAAAGAGCATTAGTATAGTTAAATAGCTCTTTAAAAGGAGTGAAAAACACAGCTAATTCCTTTCGAGTTGCATAAAAGTTCGACCTACAGACGTTCGACTGTAACCCCATTGAGGCGAATACCGGGCTTTAAGCGAGCCTGGGGACACGGACACAGGAGCTGGTAAAGCAGGAGCTTCCGATTCTGTCTTTTATGCAACTGCAGTGGCCACCCGCTGGCTGCCTCAGTGGCAAGCGGCATTCAAAACAGCAGCCAGGACGGGCCGCCAGCTGTGCAGCTGCCTCCGCATCCGCAAGTGGCGTGAAAGTTATGAATTTTAAACATTTTCTGGCAGAGAACAGCGTACAGCGGAGAAAACGCCCCTCCGGCCTCGTCCATACATTAGTTTTGGTGTCTTCGTGGCGTCTGCAGATTTATAGCAGCCCAAAATCTGCAATTGTGGGCGACTACTACTCTTCGTTTTGAAAAAATTGAAGGAAATTTTTATAAAAATCGTAAGAGAATAGAATGTATAAACGAAGCTGTATCACTTAAAGCTAAGCATTATTATATTGTCTGTGCTTCAGGATGCTGCGCTGCTGTTGCGCCAAATATCCACATCCGTTTGGAGGCATTTTCGGAATTTGTAGTTGACCAGGCCAATCGAATACAGGGGATTGGCTGCCTTGTAAAAGTGCAGACCCCGTCCAATTTTGATTATGTAGCCATTGCTCAAGCTGCAAGCAATAAAAGAACAGATAAGAAATGTGTGTATACATGAATAGTAGGGTGAATCGATTTGTCTGACGAAAGTACAGGCAAAATGGTAGATTTATATTTTATACTTTTTTACTTTTGTGGTCTTTTTTTAATTTAAAAAACAAACAAAAAATACAAGCAAAATGTCCCGTATTTTATACTCTATACTTTTTTTTTGTAATTTACAAATAAGTATTAGTGGTGTTTTTAAATTTAAAAACAAATGGTCCTATAAATGTTATTTATATACCCAAGAATTTTTGTCTTTTCTTTTCACACACTAATCAATCCACATATTGTTTGCTGTCGCAATGATTTTGCAAGCTTACTAGATTTTCCGATCGTGCAACGTGTCTTCGTATTTAATGGATACAGCAATGTTTCTCCGCTCCAAATCTGCTTTTATTTGTCCAAGGTTTGTCTTTTGTTGATCGGGGTTCTTTTGATCCTGGTACTCTTTGGTGATCAGGCGAAAATACTTTAAATTTGGGCAGTTTGTAACAGCTAGTTCTAAAAATCTCACAAGGTTTTGATACTGCAAAAGATAAAAATATTTGTTTTATAATTATTATTATATATGTGTTAAATTATAAATTAAATTAAGTTTACATCTTCGGGAATGATAATTTCTTTTCTTATCTTTATTCAATATGCACTCATATCAATGTTTTTCGCTGACATTGCAATGCAGTCATACTAAGTTATCTATTTTTATTGATAATCCGGTTTTAAACGTTCATATATATTTGGTTTTGGTGCTTATCTACTATATATATGTACAATTTACTGTGCTTACGTTTTCCTGTAATAAGAACCTTTCTTATGTTTGAGGTAATATAATTTATTACATTGGGTTCGTTTTATTTTTTCTTACTGTGATTGTATTCTACTTTAATCTGTTAAAATTTATTGATCATTTATTTACTTGGTTTTAATTTACTTGTCAACTATCTTTATCTTAGATTTTTCAATGCTATCATGGAAACACCTTGCTCCTCAGCCATAGTAACTGCAGTATTTCTCACCTGATAGTTCTGCGTCATATAGGGTTCCTCCAGCATAATCTCCACGGTCTTGTCATCCATGTATTTCCCAAAGAGCTGGTCGTAATCGAAGCCAGTGTCGTTCTCATCGATGGAAACATGCGAGACCACCTCGCCAAGCATGAGTTTGCCATTAACCCGCGCTTTAATGGCATCAGCTCGGTCCATATACTCCTTGATCCTGGTTAGGAATCCCTTTCGCTTGGTTTCATCCTGCTCACCGTTTACAAACTGCATAAGTTGAGCGATCCCCTCCGTGTAGAGAGTTTGCGCCTCCAGAATTCGAGCATTTTGGTCGCATTCTACGGCGCGTATGAGTAATTCCTTGGCTTTCAAAGCGTTGCTCATCTTGGCATCTCAGTGGGTAGTTTTTAAGTACTTCAAAATGTAATTATTTTACTACTTATGTGTTCTTTAATCGAGGATCGCTTACATTTAATCTTAAGGTACAACAACAAAAATCAGCAAAGGTAGCGGTCAGCTGTTAGTGTGACCGTAGCGTTTCAATCTAAAAATTCCAAAAGCGCGGGATATATCTTACAAATTTGATCAGACACATTTGGTATATACTAAACGTTAGCTTTGACCGTTGTCATTTGAATTTCTAGTAAATAAAGAATATTTATCTTAGACAAACAACATGCCGTGCAAAGTCATCGAAGAATGAAGCGTTTTCCTATAAACATTTAGTAAAGGAGCTATAAAGAAATTAAATTAAAATGAAATTTTTTTTTATCAGCATCACTAGAGTCGATATAGCCGTGTTTGTATGTTTCGATACCGTTTCCGAACTAAGTTAAAAAGCTTAATTGTTTTAAGTTTACAGTTACACAAAAATTTGCTGCTATTGCGCAATATAATGTTATTATTCCATTTGGGGAGCATGCCGTAAGAGTACAAATTGTCTAGTCAAACTAAAATCATCATCCTCCACTTTTACATTAAAAAACACAAATGGTAAGAAACTCACTTCAAGCTGAAATTCTTGACAAATAATTGTGCATTTTTTCAGTGGAATGTTCCTCAGTTCTTTTTTTTACCTTTTTTATATTTTCTCTCTGGCAAACTTTTCAATTGCAACATGTGCAAATTAAAAACGTCCCAAATTTGCATATTTCACTGTAGCTCTGAATGACGATCCCTTTATGGCTGTGTCGCTTACGAGCAATTACCTGAAATCGAAAACGAAACCGTTTTATCGCCAGCCAACAGTCAGACATGCCAACATCGAGCCAAATTCAATTTCACTAAGCCAAATATTAATTTATTTGTGTTTTCATTTCTGGCTCGAACCGCTTGAACCAGGTGACCAATGGACGTGGATAAAGATGAGGACGAGTCTGGTCTGGCCATCCCATACAATCCCATCCCATCTGTAGTCAGCCAAGGAAAAAACTGAAAACGTTTCGTGTAATTTCGAGAATTGGGTGGTGGGATGTTTTCTTTTTGGTTTTTCTTTTTTTGTGGGTGGCTAGAGTGGTTTTTCCCGACCATCCCGAGTCCGTATTTTTATTTATGTCATAAATTTTAAGCCATTGGGAGCTGTGAACGGGAACGTGACGTCAGCTTATAGTTCGCATTGCGGGGCTTAAATTTTTCGCATTTTAAATGCGTATTAAGCAGAAAGAAAAGTCATTTTAGGTGATTCGACATAAAACCAGCTACCCAGCTCATCCAATTGCTTATAAATATGGCTTAATACATGCGTGTGATGATGTCCTTGTTGACTATGCAATTTGTTTGTGTCAATAAAATGAAATGTCAAAAAAATATTGCACAATTCAAAAAGCCATAGAAAGTGATGCCAGATATTTGAAAATTCAAATGAAAATTTCATTAAGCGTGTTAAATAATTTAATTTAATTGTTTTTTTATGTAATGACTTTAAAGAGACAATGCAATTAATATAACATTTTGTAGCCTGATTTTAAGCAAGATGAAAATTCCTAACTGCCCTCTTGTAAATTATTCAAATAGTTTCATCAAACTAAAAACCAAAGGATCCTAAAAAAACAATGCATACTTTTCGGATAAATTCGGAATGCAGCCAACTTGGAAATTAATTTCCCGACTTCGGACAAATTGTTTTTTTTTGTAAATTAGACAACTTGAAGTGAAAGTGACCTTGTTAAAGACAACATGATGGCGGAGAAGTTGAGCTCCTCGAGTGCCACGCAGGACTAACTTTTTGTTTGGAATTAGTGGAATTGTATCTTGTAAAACACAAACTCAAGTGGGCTAAAGCTGCGAGCCTAGAGCTCTCTGCCATGGATCCACATGTCACCCAATAATGCGCCTGTGATGTGCCAAGCCACTTGTCCGAGTGTCGAGTGGTTGGGGGTCTCAGGGTTAGTACACAGAAAACAAATTTTTGGACAAGATACCAATATATGGAAATAGTTTATTTTGAGGGCAACAGAAATTCTTAGGGCTTGAAAGGTGTTTTAAGAATGCAACAATATATTTCAAATCTAGAATTCCGCCCAGTTTATTTCGAAAGACTACGTGTTTTTATGTAACAGCAGAAGTGAAAAAAAGATAAAAGTCAGAAGGTAGTTTCGAACTAGTTTCATCTAGAAATTTGTAAAATTCACCTTCAAAATACAATTTATTTCGTTTTTATATCAATTAGGTTTTAAAACAATTATGTAACAGCAAAAGTAAAAAAAGATACAAGTTAGTAGGTGGGTTGGAACTGGAACTTTTCACCCTGGTTTCATCTAGGAAGTTGTAAAATTCGCCTTCATTTTATGTTATGTGCACATCGAAATACTATCAATATCAAAGTTCTGTATAATTTTTCTGCGTGGTGATTTCAGGGGCTGGGTTAAGTTCTCGCAAGTTGGGGTGACTTAGAGGATGGATATATAGGAATCGGAATCGGCATCGGCATCGTTTGCTGGGGAGCAGTGGTTAGCTTGGCTTAGCTCATATTACGGGTATCTTGGCGCCAGCTTTTTATCGACGATTATTTTTCTTTTAACTGTGTTGTTGGCCTGCTTTTATTGTTGCTGCTGTGCCTTTTTGCGCTCAATATTTGCTTGCTAGCTACTTCGTCTTGCTCGCATTTTGGCTTCCTTTTTTTTCCGCCACTTTTGCAGCCTTTCTCGTTGATTTTTATTTGTTTCTCTTTCAATTTATTTTGCCATTTCGTTTTCCTTTCTGCTGTCATTGCTGTTGTTGTTGCCGCTGCCGTTTTCATCGCTTTTATTACAAACGCACACACTCACACACACACACACACACAGGCAGACACATGTGGAGCAGCTCTCCACATTGTGTGTCCTTCACAGTCACAGTCACAGTAACAGTCGCATTCACATTCGCAGTGCGTGTTTGTCAGTCTAACTGTTTGCTCTAGTACACTGCACAAAATTAGTAAACTAATCAATAAATTATTTCGAAATTGTAGGTTCTGTTACAAAAGTTTTGATGACTAATTAGCGACTAACTGATTTATATCGGGTCATTCGCTGAACATTTCGATTTATAATAAAAAGGATTTTTCCAAAATATTTTAAATTCATTTATTTCAAAGCAAATTAGTACTGAAGACTTACTATAAAGTTAAGAACTAGAAGTTTGCAATGACAAAATTGGTCTGTGCAGAAACAATACACATAAAATCTTTCATATTTCTTAAATGTACAGCTTATTTTGGCCTATATTCTTTCCATCTCGTTTCCGGATTATAAAATGCTTATAAATGCAGAAAAATTTTATACTGAATATTTTATTAACGTTTACTGTGCACGGATTAAAACTTGTTTAAGCCCTTTTGACACGAGTTTTTCTTGGGCTTGAGTGCAGGCCATACCCTTGACTTTCGATGGCATTTTCTCAGTGTGTTTGCGAATCTGTTTGTTTGCTGCTAAATGTGCGCTCAGCCCGCCACTCATTTATGTCGTCGATGTGCCGCAGCCGCCACTGTCACCCCCTGCAAAAAAAAACAGCCCTTCGCTCATCAGCCTTGCCGCCCATTTCGCCAAACCCCTGCCACGCCATCACCACCTCCCCGCCCCCCGGCACGTTCGTTAACGTTCAGTTTTCCACTTGATGCTATTTATGTTTGCTTCCATTTTTCAAGAAGGATCAAAATTTATATTGGCTAAAAAGTCCCTCGAGAGCTTTTTACCCCACTCCTCACGTTTCTTGAAGGAAACAACTCACACACTCTTACAGATGTAACAAATTGTAACACAATCGTAACTGTTTACTCGGGGGTCAGGGGTCGCCAAAATCATAACCTCGTAGCCTCCTGCGAGTGCGGTAAGTGGCCACGCCTTGCTCTAGCAGCCCACATGTGTCCCTCAACTCGAGCGATTGAATTGAGCTGTGCAATTGTTTTGATTTCTAGCCCAGGGCCTTCATTTTCCCGTTTTTCCCGTGGCTTTTCCTAGCCCCTTACACACTCCTCGACATTATGACTTCTCGTATTTATCGCCTGTGTGGCAAAAATGTAATAAACAATTCGAGATGCTTTATTGCTCTGCAGCAACTCAATTTATATGGCCTGGCCTTTGAGGTGCTCTCTGGTCGTCGGCTCCTCTATTATTTCTTTCTTGGTCTTAAGATCCTGGCCAAAAGCAATCCCCATCATATTGACCCCTTCCTCTTTGGCCTGCTTTTGTTGTGCGTCAGTTTCCCTATTAAGCACACACAAATTGATGATGTTAACAATGACGGTACAAAAATCGCCGGCTCCATGACTGGCCAGAAAAAGCAGAAAGCTGACGTTTCTGCCGGCGAACCGGAACAGCGCATGGCCAACTGAAATGGAAACTGGCTGAGAACTCTGAAAATTCAGAAAATTCAGTTCAAGAAATATGTGTTTTATTGGAGGTGTTCCAGAAATCTCGGATTATGCATGGGAAGTTCAAAGTAAATGTCGGATATTTCAATTAGAATATTGAAATATGATCAAGAAAATGGGCTTTGTAAATATGTCAGAAAACGAAAACAGCTTCTATATTACATTAAAAATTTAAATAGGGAATTTCATTTTGCCTCCTTTTATATTTATATTTAGTCTAAATAAATGTTAACTTTTACTTTTTTTATGGTAATGAAAAAATACATTATCATAATAAACTCTGAATAAATTTTATGGTTAACATTTATTTTTGGGTTTGGGCTTACGGTTGAGTAAGCATCTTGTGTTTTTTATTACTTTAAGGCCATGCAATGCAGCTTAAGTAATTGCGTGCAAAAAGGTAAGCAAGAAAATATGTTTATAAAATGTATGCAAAATAATAAATATTTTATTTGCAAAAAAACAAGAGATTGTGCTTTATTTGAAGATTTGTTTCAATTTTGGTTTTAGTCTAATAATGCTTACATAATTAATTTAATATATATTAGACTTAAAATTTAAATTAGCAAATTGATAACCAAGCTAAAGCTCTAAAAAACAATTATTAAAACAGGAAATTGAGCTGCTGCGTTCTAATGTTACAATACCAAAGTTTATGCTGTTGC